ATCTGATACTCTTACCTGTAAATTTAAACCATCTCCTCTTCAAACTGTTCTTTAACCTTTCAGCTCCCCAAGACTGTTGTGCTTTGCTGGGGATTCCCCTTCTAGTACCAGTATCCACAAAATGCCTCAAGGCAGAAAGCCAGTGGGATAGTAGGCCTCACCTCACTGGCTTCCTTTCACTCAGGGATAACAATCTTGTCTTGTCTGCTGTCCAACATGTGAAAACAGCTGTTTTCATATTTGCCCAGAGTTTTAATTGTTAATTGTGGGAGGATTAATCCAGTTCCAATTACTCTATCATGGCTGGAGAGCAGTGGTGCAATCACAGCTCACTGCAAACTTGAATTCTTGGCCTCAAGCAATCCTTCTGCCTCAGACTCCCAAAATGCTGGGATTATAGGCATGAGCCACTATGTCTGGCCCAAAGCCCCTTTTAATAAAATTTCCAGCATAGATGCCATGTTTTACAATATTTCATCTATCATAATAACCCAATCCATATGTGCCTCCTATCCTTCCATCTATCTATTCAGTGGCTGCTAGATCTTTGGAAAACAAAGATGAATATAACTCAATTACTGCTCCCCCAAAAAACTCACAAGTAAAAGGGAAATGGGTAATAAATCAGTACACTTAAACAAGGTACACAGGGGCTGTGGGGACAGAGAAAGATATGGTCAAATCTACGTGAAGGTCAGAAAAGATTCTGTGTGTGTAAGTGTGTGTGTGTGAGATTAAATACTTGAGAGCAGGTCTTGAAGAGTAAGAGATTAATAGATGAGGTAAGACATTGGGACAAAAGAAATGCTGTACACAAAGTATGAAGTTATGAAACAACATGTAAATTTGGGACAACCGTTAACAGTTCTAAAAACCAGCAGTACAGAGTTTAAAGCAGGGAGGGGAGAGAAACACAGCTATGGAAAAACAAAAACAGGGGCATATCATGAAGGAGGCCTGAATGCCATGCTGACCATAATTCACATCCGTAATTCATCATCATCAGCTACTGCCGATTGTGCTGATAGATGTTTTAAATATATTATATATATTACATTTAATTCTCAAACAACCTTATACGGAAATTAAGGCTTAGGGAGCTGAAGTAATTTTGCCCAAGATCACACGGACATGAAGTGAGGAAGTCAGGATGTGAAAACAGGTCTGTTTGATTTCAAAGCCAACAAAGGGAAGTTGCCTTGAATCTCTAGGTAACGGGAAGTTATAGGAGAATTTTTTTGTCCTTAAATGTTTTTTTGAAAAATTACATTCACTGATGGAATAGTTTTAGGTAGGTGGGAAATGGAGTTTATGTTTTTAGAAAGGTCACCCTGGGGCATGAGGAGGAAAGATTGGAGGGATGAGGCTGGAGTCAATGAACCAGTCTTGAGTCTGCTGCTAAAAATGCAGGAGGAAAATAAAAGCTTAGATTAGGTGGTGTTTAGGAGGGATGAGGAAGAGGATGTGGATTTACCAAATGCTTAAGCAGAATCTGTCAGAGTAAACACACAGCTTTGGCAAAACGGGAGACTTTAAGGTCAATGATGGATAGGCTGATACACTAAAATTACTAGGTCCTATGCTAAATGCAGGGGACACAAAGACAGGCAGGGCATGATTTCTCCTCTTGATAGCTCATGTAGCATCACAGAATCAAAGTTGTGAATTCCACTGAAATACAATAAATACCTTACAGACCACATCCCCCCCCATTACAATCTTCAGAATCCTTAATGAGAGGCCCAAGCTGGAAACCACTGCTGCAGAACATTCTCAACCCTGTTACAAACCAGCTTGCATAGAGGAGGTCCCATTTGTGCAGGCTGAGACTGTCAGGACATGGAGGTTATTAACTGTCCTCCAACCTTGCCTATAATTATCAGCAACAATTTTATTAAAAACAAATGCAGGTACCATTTCTTGAACACTGACAACATGCAAGCACTGTGCCAGGCATTTGATAATCATTACCATAACTGTTTGCCATAATAATCCTGAGAGCAGGCCTGGTACTCCTCTTTTAACGTGGAAAACTGAAGCTCAAAGAGGGAAAATAACTCACCCAAGTTACTTTGATTCCCCGAGGCTACCCTACTTGTCATTTAAAAGGCATCTTGGAATTTGCCATCTTCAGAAAGACTCCATTATCCTCCCCAAAATTTTGTTACTCTGTCTCCTGGGCCCTTCTGTGCCCGATTTCTATTTCCCTGTGGTCCCTATTATGCTACACTGTAATGGATATGTAATTGACATATCTGTTTCCCTTACTGACATACAGTCTTTGAAGATCTGCTTTCTCTTTGCTGCTCAGTGCCAGCACAGGGTCAGAGCAGTGCAGGTGGGACCAGTCAGTCCACTCCATGGTTTCTGAGCTGCCAGTCACTCATCTCATGCTGCCACAGGGCCCTTGGCCATTTCCTGCACCTGACAGACCTCAGGTTCACTTCCCACATTCACTAGGCAGTTGCCAGGTCCATGCCTAAGATATCCATGGCTTCAAGAGGTTCTCGTCCACTGAAGGGAAACAGGGATGGGAGCCTCACATTCCTTGGACCAAAAGAACTCAAATTATAGCTAGTAGGCCCTAGGGTACCAACCATGTACTCTGTCCTGGACATGATTCTCACACCTTATAGGTCCTCCTGCCTGTCTCACACTTCAATTTTTCGTAAGTTCTGTCGTCTCTTGCTGCCTCAGAGGGAGGCGGGATACACAGAGTAGAGGCAGCACAGACTGGGGGTCCAATCTCAGCCGTGCCCCTAATCACCTACAGGATTTAAGGCAAGGCACATGCTCTCTGAAGTTCTCTCCTCTCTGTAGAAGGGAGAGATCACCTGTTCCACAGGGCTACAATACTGTCATTCAGGATGAATGACATCCTAAATGCAGAAGACACCTAGTAGGGCAAAGGGGCCACGTGGGCTCTGTAGACCCACAGGGTTGAGTTCACGCCTTGGCTCCACCTCTCTCTAGCTCTGTGGGTCAAGCAGGAGTAAGGAAAAGACCATCCTCAGAGTGGCATGAAGAGTCAATGAGAGGTCAATGACGGGAGCTCAGTGCAATAAGCCAGTGAATGGCAGCCACTGCTGAATTATAAGTGGAGCACTGCTGTAGGGTACAAATGACTCCCCCAAAATCTCACAGTGAGTTAGGTGTAGAGAAGTTTGAAATACTGTTATGGCTGGGCACAGTGGCTCATGCTTGTAATCCCAGCACTTTGGGAGGCTGAGATGGGCAGATTGCTTGAGCTCAGGAGTATGAGACCAGCCTGGGAAACACAGCAAGACTCTGTCTCTACAAAAAGTAGCTGGGCATGGTGGCATGTGCCTATAGTCCCAGCTACTTGGGAGAATGAGGTAGGAGGATTGATTGAGCCCAGGAGGCAGAGGCTGCAGTGAGCTAAGATAGTGCACCGCACTCCAGCCTGGGTGACAGAGCCAGATGCTGTTTCAAAAAAAAAAAAAAAGGAAAGAAATTATCCTGCAAGACATTCATCAACAAACAGCAATCCTTTCAGAACAGCTACCCACAGGGTGCCACTGGGGCTCCTGGCAGTGATGGTGCATCAATGCCCACCAGGTAAAACACTCCCCCGACCAGGACACATATGAGCACCACATGGCCAGGAACAACAACCCCTTTCACTCTGGAAGTCAGGATAATTCTACAGATCTTCTTGCAGGCAGAGCTACGGAGGCCAAAGCAGAAAAGACAAAATCATACTTGCTGGTAAGGCCCAATCCTCACTGGCATGGATAAGGGGCGAATGGGTCTACCTCACACAGCTGCCTACAGGGCTGCTCCAAGTAGCAACAGGAGACAGGTATATAGGCAGATGTTAGTGTGGCAAATGTGGCAGCCAATTACTTTTTGCTCAATAGAACCCACATTCTGTGTAGACCTGAGGCAACAAAGTGTGACGCAGAGGGTGCACAGCTACACTGAGAGCACTGGCACCTGATACTCTACTATGCAGGGAAAAGGCTGTTTGATGATGGTCTAGGAAAAAAATGTAGGTTTGAAGTACCCCAAATTGTTCACACTGAAAACCCCGCCAGCTGCCTTCTGTGGTGTTACTCGGAGGGAGCTGTCCTGATCTCTAGAGGTGGCAATGTGCTGGGGAGAGGTGGCGAGACCCTCAGAGGAGAGGTCTAGACACTAAGGTCGCTTCACAGTCTTTCTTATAAAAGTTCAAGAGCAAAATAGACTCAAAAAGTAAACCACCTTATAACTTTCTTTCTTTTTTTTTTTTTGGAGATGGAGTCTTGCTCTGTCACCGAGACTGGAGGGCAGTGGAGCGATCTCAGCTCACTGCAACCTCCACCTCCCAGGTTCAAGCAATTCTCCTGCCTCAGCCTCCTGAGTAGTTGGGACTACAGGCACGTGCCACCACGCCCAGCTAATTTTTTGTATTTTTAGTAGAGACAGGGTTTCACCATGTTAGCCAGGATGGTCTCGCTCTCCTGAACTCATGATCCGCCACATCGGCCTCCCAAAGTGCTGGGATTACAGGCGTGGGCCCTAACTTTCTATCTTTTTTTTTCGAGACGGAGTCAGTCTCACTCTGTCACCCAGGCTGGAGTGCAGTGGCACAATATCAGCTCAATGCAAGCTCCACCTCCCAGGTTCAAGTGATTCTCCTGCCTCAGCCTCCCGAGTAGCTGAGATTATAGGCATGCGCCACCATGCCTGGCTAATTTTTGTATTTTTAGTAGAGATGGGGTTTCACCATGTTGACCAGGCTGGTCTTGAACTCCTGACCTCAAGTGATCCACCCGCCTCGGCCTCCCAAAGTGCTGGGATTACAGGTGTGAGCCCCCGCGCCTGGTCACCTTCTAACTTTCTACACTGAGACAAAGGTTTCAATGGAGAAACAAACTGCAGTTCTCAGGTCACAGGAAAACCTTGGCTATTTCCTCTCCTTCCCCATTTCCCAAAGTCACGTTCATTTCTTTGCAGAAGCTCACAGAAGTTAGATCCTCGCGAGCTCAGATACCTACCACATCGTTTGGGAGGCTCTGGAGGTCATCGAAGGGGGTTTCCAGGGTGTTGGTGTCCACATTCAGGATCACGACATCATCCAGGGCCATGTTTCTGACTTTCTGCAAGGAGAAAAAAATCCAGAAGAGAAGGTCATTGAGGTGCCATCAAGACACACTTCCCCTGCCTTCTCTGGGGAAGAGGCACAGAGAAGAAAAGTGACATTTGCCAAAGTCTTACTCTGCAGCAGGCCCAATGGTAGGAGGTTCACATTTGTTAGCTCACTGAACTCTCATAAAATCTCTGTGAGCTTGCATGATTATCCCCAAGTACCAGGAGTGAAAAGCGTTCACAGAGGCTCAGTAACATGCCCCAGGTCACACAGCCAGAAAGTAAGAGGGATCATTACATCCCATCATCATTTTTCCCCTATACATTTAACAGACGCTGAGGTCAAAAGCTCTGGCCCCAGGAATGCTGATATATGGCTATGTTCTCGTGATATCCCCATTCAATCCAGCCCCCTAATTTAACAGAGGCTACTTGCCCATCTCTCTTTTGGATCCTGTCATTCTTGGGTATGGAATATTGTGTGTGGCCTACTGTTAACACTTCCCTTAAATGCCAAGTAGGAAGGTCACACTTTCAGTTTGGTTCAATTTTCCACAGATATCCAGCTAGTAATGGCTCAGAAGCTCTGGCCATAAGCCATTATTCTATTGGCACAGTAATAGAAAAGATGAGGGAAACTCATGCCTACAAGGTTTTCATGATTGGTGACAGGAGAAGGGATGAACGGACAATATGGAGAAAAAAAGAATCCTCCCCGCAATCTGGCAGCAATTCCCCATAGCCTGTGTGAGTCCAAGACAGGGTGTAGCCTGAGTTTCAAATTTTTAATCACACTACTTATCCACTACTAAGAATCCATCTTTGTGTTTCTCCTGCCTACCCGCCACTCCTGGTCCCATTCAATCCTCCCTCCCCATTACATATCAAGCACATTCCTTTTGAGTCAGAGGCTTTAGAACTATTGTCTTTATTTTATTTTGCATAGAAAGATCCTATCATTTGCTGTCTAAACTGGGGTACATTTGGATGTGAAAGACCTCATCTTACACCAGGGCAACAGGCACACGATGGGACCTGTGGTCACTGCATATAAAGGATCAATTCCATGACTGGTCAACCTCTGAGCATGCTACACATGGCTGTGCAGGTAGGCACTCCTCAGATGCCAACCACCTAAGCTAGGGCTGAAATCTGCCAACCCACGTGCCTGCTGAGTGGCACCAGTCGGGGAAAGGGGGCAGATGCCTTTTCCTAATTCACCCCAGAACACGGTGTAGGCTGGCAATGGAGGCAGACATCCAATGGCTGCTCAAGCTCCAGTTTCCAATGCCCTGGAAATGGACAAGTAGCATATACTAGAAGCTTCCTAGCTCTTGCTCTGTGCTTCACTCACCTTATTTCATTTAATTCTTACCAACCCCTGTAAAGTGGATGTTATTGCCCTCAATGTTCGAAACTTGAGGAAGATGAAGTTCAGCGCGCTGAGGTAAGAGGCAGAAGAAACCACAGGCCCGGCTGCCTCCCCAGGCCATGCTCTCTGCACTGCACCATCCACCTCCTCATCGTCAGACACCCACAGGGAGACTGACCTCTACATAGCCCTTGTCACTCTGAGCCCCAGCACCTCTCTGCCTCCCCTGTTGGGGTGTGGGCTCCTTCAGGGGCTCATCTGTGGCTCACCACTGCAAAATAACCAGCCCCTGACAACATGACTGACACCTGATAAGTGCACATTAATATGGTTGACATTCACTCTCTTAAATCGCAGCCTCTAGGGCAGAACATGGTACCTAAGTAAACATTTCAAGATTCTTCCCAGCAGGAGGGTGGAGCCACGCTGGTCACAAGCCTCGTAGGGTTGAAAAAACACTCCCAGGCAGCAGAATCCTGGAACCTTTTCACTTAACACCATCAAAGCCTCCAACTCCTGCTATCCACTAACTTCTCCAGGCCTCTGGGGCTCGTCCACAAACCTATCCATCAATTTCTAAGTGCTTACTATGTGCTAAGAACCACAGAAGAGGGACACAATTGCTGATGTAGGAGTTTATTCTTTCCTCCAAACCCCAACACCCATTATTACCTGCTGCCTTATTTATAGGGTAAAAAGATATCAGAGAATGGAGAACTTTGATCATATTAGGTTGGTGTAAAAGTAACTGCAGTTTTTACCAAAGTAACGGCAGAGAGTAATTACTTTTGCACCAACCTAATGATACGAAAAACAAGTTCGTATTTTACAGCGCTTTTGTTATTTGAAGCATAATCTCCATTTTACACAGAAGAACGCTGAGATTCACAGGGGATTGTCCAGGACTCCCTAGCTGCCTCACTCTGCAACCCAACAGGTCAAATGCCCAGCAGTGTGCTAGCAGGAAGGTACCAAAATAGCATCAACAGCCCTCCTTTTCACTGATGTCACACCTCAGGCTCACAGAGCACTGCCACACAGATGCTTTCATTCCATCCATGGGGCTGGAGGTGAGATATCATTATCCCCATTTCATAGATGAGTAACTGAGGCTCCAAGAAGTAGCTTGCCCAAGGTGATGTGTCTACTAATTGGCTTTGTCTGTAAAATTAAAATGCTAACTGTGGCCACCCTACTTCTCTCACTTCCCCCAGGGCTGCTGTGATGAGAGCAAACACACCCATAATGCTGGCCACACAGTAGGATGTAATAAATAGTGGCTATTATTACTCCTTTTATAATACACACAATAGCCACAGTCAGTCTGGAAGGCTGTAGTGGCAATGGCCTGAGGGCAAAAATCCTTGGGGCCCCTTCTTGCTTGGTCTCTCACTTCAAAGGCTGCCTACAGTCACAGGAAACAGAATCAGAGAAGGGCTCATAACATCCTGAAGGACGCGCCCGCCTCCAGGACAGAGCAGAGGGCTGTGCACCCCAGAATCAACTACTTTGCCTCCTCTGACCTTCCAAACAGCCCCAAACAGAAGGCAGCAGGAGATGATGGCCATTGGAGAGAAGCCTCCAGGGCTGAAAGGCACTGTGAATGGGATGTTGATTCTGGATCAGAATCAGGCCTTGTTTCTGCGTTCCCACTGGGCCCCAGCAGCACAGACCAGCCCTTGTAGGCTCTCCACCGCTGGGCTGGAATAGGCTTTTGATTTCTTCCCACTCCTGGCTGGAGGACTTGCCGGTTAAGCTGTGTGGAGTGTTTACTTTTTCAACAATGGCAGTAGGCTGAAGAATAGGAAAAAACCTGGCCCCTTTTTCTAACTTAGCAGGCCAGGGTCCCCTTAGTAACCAAAATGCCCCAAGCACCAGGCTCCAGGCAGGAGCTGGGGCGGCAGAGTTTCCTCTTGAAGGACAATGCTGCCCTCCTGGTGGCAAGGCCTCTTCCAAAAGGGCTGGCGTGGACTCAAGGGCCTTCCTGAAGCTCACTGTTCCCAAGGAAAGAATTGGAGCCCAGCTCGCCGGACAGTGCCCAGTCCCCCAAAGGATCAAGGCAACCAGGGGAATGAAGAAAGGCAAGAAACCCTCAAACTGGGGGTGGGGACGGGAAGCGCGGATGAGGAAGGAAGCCAGACCATCGCCAGGTGCCAGAGCCTCTCATCTTAACCACGCCGTCAGTCAGGGACACTAGCATCTCCACATGGGAACCAAGTGGGGGTGCAGAGAGGTCAAACAAGCTGCCCAAAGTCAGAGCTAGGGAGCGGCAGTCAACTTTTGAACGCAGTCTGACCCCAAAGCTGACTTTCTTCTGAAGATAGCCCTAATCCGATCACTCAGACATCAGAATGAGTATCTATCTGTTCAGGACACAGTTATATCAACACGCTCAGAGTCTGCTTTGTCTTACATAAAATACTACTTTCCTTTTTATCATAAAAGATAGGATGGGTGCGGTGGCTCACGCCCGTAATCTCAGCACTTTGGGAGGCCGAGACGGGCAGATCATGAAGTCGGGAGATCGAGACCATCCTGGCTAACACGGTGAAACCCCATCTCTAGTAAAAATACAAAAAAATTAGTCGGGCGTATTGGCGGGCACCTGTAGTCCCAGCTACTCAGGAGGCTGAGGCAGGAGAATGGCATGAAACGGGAGGCGGAGCTTGCAGTGAGCCAAGATCGCTCCACTGCACTCCATCCTGGGTGACCAAGTGAGGCTCCATCTCACAAAAAAAAAAAAAAAAAATTATAGATGCCTACTATTAAAAAAATGGGAAAGGCCGGGTATGGTGTCTCATGCTTGTAATGTCAGCACTTTGGGAGGCTGAGGCAGATGGATCACCTGAGGTCTGGAGTTCAAGACCAGCCTGGCCAACATGGCAAAACCCTGTCTCTACTAAAAATACAAAAAATTACCCAGGTGTGGTGGTGGGTGTATGTAATCCCAGTTACTTGGGAGGCTGAGGCAGGAGAATCGCTTGGACCTGGGAGGCGGAGGTTGCAGTGAGCTGAGATGGTGCCACTGCACTCCAGCCTGGGTGACAAGAGTGAAACTCTCTGTCTAAAAAAAAAAAGGGGGGAAAGACAGAAAAGTTTAAAGAAGAAAATTACAGTTACCCCAGTCCCTCCATTGGAGACAATGTTTTGGTCCATTTCCTTCCATATTCTCCCTTTCCTATGCGTTAAAGCAAAGTTGAAATAATAATTTTTTTTTTTTTTAAGATGGAGTCTCACTCTGTTGCCAGGCTGGAGGGTAGTGGCATGATCTTGGCTCACTGCAACCTCTGCCTCCTGGGTTCAAGCTATTCTCATGCCTCTGCCTCCCAAGTAGCTGGGATTACAGGCATGCGTCACCACACCCAGCTAATTTTTGTATTTTTACTAGAGACGGGGTTTCACCATGTTGGCCAAAATGGTCTCCATCTCCTGACCTCGTGATCCACCCATCTCGGCCTCCCAAAGTGCTGGGATGGCAGGTGTGAGCCACTGTGTTTGGCCAGTTGAAATAATTCTTAACACTTCTGATTTTCTCCCTGATTCTGATATAAGCAGTGATCCACTTCATTAAGAACTTTGTGTAGATCATTACTAATTGTGACAGCGTATCCTACTACATGGAAACAAACTCAACTAAGC